TTGGTGGGGTGGTGTTGGGCTGGGATTGAGAGGATGGGTTAAAAATTCCGACCGATAGAATACAATAGTTGATCATTATTTTAGGCTGTTATCGACGTGATCATTTTTGTGCAAGAGTCCCGCAGATCAGTGACGACGATCGTATTTCTATCTATTCACCTAGACACCATTGTTGGCTGGGTTTGTGATGGCAAAGCTAGTTGTGGCTTAATTGAAAAATAAGGAACTAACCTGAAAATCTGAGTGCTGCAGATTGGCACGTACAGTGAACTTGAGCAATTCCTTTGTTAAAATAATAAAAACCAACGTTTTGAATGTAATATCGATGTTACCTTAAAATGGACGCACATCGATATAACAGACTGACAAGGAGGTACCTAAGCCACTAATTGTAAGTACCAAACTCTCAAACAATTTCTCGATAAAAAGTAAACACCAAATTAATTTACAAATAAAACCGCAAAAAAATAAAATTATTAATGATAAAAATCAGCAACAGAAGGTAATAAAAAAAAGTAAAAAAAGTAAAAGGATTTGAAGATAGGTGCTTTCAGCAAAACTTAGGAAAAACTTCTGTACTTCAAATCAATGTAAGGTATTAGTGATCATTCTCTCTTACCTTAAGAAGCAGGACGTATTCATCAAGGTGCTGTGCTGGTTTTTTAAGGTACTCTGTGAGGGACATAGCATCTTTTGTGTCTTCCTGGAACTCCTGTTGATGTTGGAACAATTATCGTTCATTAGATTCAGCACACAGCAGTACGTTAACAGGCCTTGGTTTAAAGGCAGTTAACATTATTTCAGCTTTTTTACCTTGAATGTACTTTAAGCTAAAATGCAGCTGGCGTGGGCTTTTACTTGTATATTATCACTGTGAATTATTATTTGTACGAGTGAATCTAATTGACGAAAGAGGGTTTTAATGAAATACTCACCGTCCAAAACCCTTGTGTTTCCTCACTCTCCAACTTTTCATTTGCCAACGGTCTTCCCTCAAGGAACTTGATGTACATTTCAAATTTTGTTTTCTAAAAAAATCACGAAATGGCAACGTTTCTGGTCAAAATGTTGCTTGTATTAATATTGAACGTTAAGACGAAGCCAATTGTACAAAGGTAACTTACTGTCGATGAGAAAGAATAGTTACTAATACTTCCAAAGATCGCCCGCTTTACGAAAATATCACTTACGTGTCTCAAAATAACCTTTGGTAAGTCATCTGGACTCTTTGCACAAGCCTCCAGTTCGTGCAGGAATTGTCTGGAGAAAGAACGGATGCGTCAGAAGAGTGACAATCATAAATATCAAGTGTTTTAGGTGGAGATAGCACTTAAAGCTTGACAGTGACGTATTCTATCGTCTGAAAGTCGACAATTTAACTCCACTAATACTACAAATACGCAAAATATGAATCATGAGTCGCACAGAGTTAGAGGAATGAGTACCGCAAAATTGTTACCTTGCGTGAAATCCGTATATTTCCTTGATATTGGAAAACACAGCATCCTCATGTTCAACAACTTCGTCGGGAATATCTGCTGCATCAAGTTCAGCTAAATGACTCTATAAAAACCAAACAAAACAGATCATCCTTCACGTGACCAGTTTCTTTTAATTCAGTGACACCACGTCACTCGAAAGAAAGGGATTTAGCAAATGAGTGGGGGCCTTCTGAGCGAGGATAATATTCAATTTCCACTGCAAAACGAGACAACAGCTTCAGTACAACAATTCTGCTTATATCACTTGCTTGTTCATCATCGCCGGTGTTTCTCAGCAGAGCTCCTGGTAGGTGTAAAAGTTGAGGTAACTCAACCCCGACACTTCCCCAACTAGGTGATTTGCAAACAGGATTTACATCACCCTTGATGTCAAACTCTTAGAAAGCGGCTGCCCTTACCTCAACAACAGTTCGGAGGTCGTTGACGTACTTCCTTTCAGATTCTATCAGTTCGTTTAGCACGAATCTAAGAGAACAAATCTTAGTGTAAGACATATCGTTAATCAAGGATAATTAAAATGTATTGGTACAGTGGGGAGAAAATTGACACCGAATATTGTCCACAATTCTTCTCTTACTCTCGCTGAATGAGCGCCTCCCTCTCTTTCCCTTTAGCAGTCTTTGGGGCCTTCTTCACATCTTCCTCAGGGGCCCTTATGATAAAGACCCTCGGTAACCACCCGACAGCGCCAGTGGGAATAACGCAGACCATCGAGCTCTCCAAGCCTACGTCATCAAGGATCTCTAACATGTCTCCCTCATTTACCGAGACCTCATCAGAGGCCTGGGCCGGGTAGTTGGTGATACACACAAACTTCTGTTTCTCTCCCTGAAAAAAAAGGAGCCAAAGCTTGTGAATTTGGATATCAAAATAAAGTAAGAAAGAAATAGGTAAAAAAAAAAAAAATCATATATTGCAAAGGGAGAAATAAAAAAATAAAAAAACTTACTCTCATTGGTATGTCTGTGGTTTCATCCCTTAAAAGTAAAAGTATCGATTAGCTGCAATAATTCAAGATTTTTGTGCAACCTAAGTGACGACCTTCACCGCATTAGTAATCATACTAAATAAACTGACTTTGTGATGAGTCAAATGAAAGACATCAAGGTAACTTTTTGTGCCGTCTAGAGGTTGTCTTTGTGCTCTTGAAAGGCTAATGATTACACATCAAGCTGAAAACTAATATCAAGTTAAACACGTAACCAAACTTAAGTTGACACTTACCCATCTTCGTCTCTCTTCAGGCATGTGTGACGTACAAATCCAATCTCTGACCCACGTGACACCCGTCTGACCAACCAGAACTCAGGTCTGCTGGTATCTAGTACTTCGACTTTGTCGCACTTCTTAAGGAATTTGTTTCCAGTCTCTTCTGAGTAGAAGTCCTCAATTGCCGTGTATAGTTTGAGCGTGAGAACCTGAGGAGGAGGTGAGGTAAGAAAACCATGAAATGGCCAAGAATTATCTTCACAAACATTTGTACATTGAAGTTTCCTTTAACTCTTTGGTGACTTTGCTGAATATTTGGGAAGACGAAATCTTCTTCCTTTTAGATAAATCAAGGACTAAATATTGATTGCCGAATATTCAGTTTAGAAGGCAGTGTGGCCGAGTGGTCAGCGTGTCGGACTCGCAATCCGCCGCTACCGGGTTCGAGTCCCGCCCTGACCACTACCTGGATTTGTTTCACGGTAGCTCCGAATTCAAATCATCGGCGATGCTTGTAAATAACCAACTGGTTTGCCTTCGGCCAGATGGGATTCTTAATAATGTTATTTTCAATTTGAATTGTTTGTTTCAGTTGTTGGGTGGAAAACCTGTAAACTAGTTTTCAGCTAGGTGTTTCTCCATGTTAAATAATAATAATAATAATAATAATAATTATTATTATAATTATTATTATTATTATTATTATTATTATTATTATTAGTATGTTTAAGTAACTTCTCTTAAAGTTCCCCAATCAATTAATATCGACTTCCTCCCCCCTTTTACCCCTTAAGGTGAATGGCGACTAATTTCTCGCCGCTATCTGACCTATGAATCAAACATAAAGATTATGAGAAAAAATAACGGATCACCAACTAACTGTTACACGCATTCTCCTGGCTCGTACCATAATGAATGAAGAAAAGAATTATGAATACACAGGACTTATTGAAACTCTCACCTCTTCAACTCTTGACAGGCCTGAGTTCTTACGCGGAGGTTTTTCTCCAGCAAAGGGTGACAATTGATCGGCTCCTACAATAAAGGAAACGAATAAGCTCTTTCTTTCCAACTTCAAAGTTTATGAATAAAAAGATCATGTCTCAGAAAGCATTTTCAGATTATCAACAAATTTAGTTGCGCTCTATGGGCTGAAAGGTATATGGTGCTGCACACCTCTGTAACTGTGAAATTGTGGTCTGGAAAGTATTCTTAAGTTTGAAGAGAAAAAAGTAATTGAAAAACAACAATAAATTGAATTTGCAATCTTGAATAACTTCCCTTTAATGCTCTTGTAAGGAGCGGAGACGATTTCCTCGGAAACAATATCAACCAAACACTATTTGCACCCTAATTCTGTGGAAGTTCTTCCTCCTTTATATCTCAAACAATCCCTTTTATTACACTTTCTACCTTACACACCTTCAACAAATAGCACTCCAGTAGAGGACACTTCTCCCAGATCATTTTTGGCAACAACTTTATACATTCCAGCATCTTCAAACTTGCCTTCTGTTATCAGAATAGAGAACAAGTCTCTCTCCTGCAAAACTTTGATGTGCGGAAACTGTTCACCACTGATCTTTTTGCCGTCTTTGAACCAAGTGACTGTCGGGGTAGGCTTTCCACGCACGCGCACATCAAACCTAGCTGCACTGCTATCTTCGATGGAGCGATCGGTTAGCGGCGCTGTGAATGAAGGCGCTTCACGTTGTCCAAGCGCTGAGGGTAAACAAATAAAATAGTAAGTCATTGAGGGGGGTCTGGTGCAGAATAGTTTCTTCCACTCTTATGACATTTGTTTGCAGCAGATTTAGCAAAACATTTCAGTAAACATCGAACATGTCATTCCATATCTGTTTTATTCTGAGTTATGTCGACGTTCTACAGATCATCGGAAGCGTCTTTATTTTGCTTCTAACATAGTATTTTCAAAGTCGTCATTATCTTCCACGAAGTCTCATTTGAGGAATATTTGAAGCACATACACATAACCCCGAAACAAAATCCTATGAACTGGCGTCGTGCCCATTGCTTTTTTTCATTTACCTTTGACCGAAAGTTTTGCTTGACAGGCAACAGATCCCCCCATGTTGGAAGCCACACAACGATACTCGCCCTCGTCCTCCACGGCCACTTTGTTGATGAGAATGGAATAGTTTCCAGTCTGCGAATCTTTGATAAACTTCACTCTTGAGTCTTCCTTCACAAGATCTCCATTCCTGTACCATGAGACTTCCGGTTCCGGTATGCCTCTCGACTTGACAGTAAAGTATACAGTGTCCCCGACAAAGACATCGTTGTTGCTAAGCTCTTGTTGGAATTCTGGCTCGCAGACGCTGTCACGTGATCTTCGACGTTCCATTCGGGCGTTTAACTTTACAAGTTGTTCGTCATCTTGGGATGAAGATTCTGACATTGACTCTAAGTTGAGAATAATCAGAAGAAGAATTAAAGGGGCATCCAGTGATAAGAGTACTTAGAGTTGCCAATCAAATATTTTCTTCCGGGAGGAATAGAGCTTGATTTGGTAATACCTGAGACGATTCGATTATACTCACCTTCCACTAGGACTTCAGCCGAACACGAAGCAATGCCCCAGTTATTGAGCAGCACGCATTTATAAATTCCTTCGTCATCGACAGTGACTGACTGAATGTCCAAGGTGTGTTGCTCGCCCGCTGATGATTGAGTGAATCGAGGCTGAGAGCGGATCAGGTCATTGTCTTTGAACCACTCGATGTTGTCAATGGGCTCAGGACCGGAAGTCACCTTAACGAGGCAATGAAACAAATCTATATTAGAGTCAAATATGTCCTGTTACCCCTTTCAGCAGTTATTCTTTGCCAGCTGTTCATGTTAGATTTGAAAATAGCCGCCTCCTGGTTAGCTCAATTGGTTAGAGCGCCGGATTGTGTTGTGCGGGAGGTCGAGGGTTCGAGTCTCGGCCGGAGCAATACTCATGGTCTTAAAATAATTGAGGAGAATTTGCTACCTTTCTATAATATCAATGAAATGGATAGATATTCTAGTCTTCTCGGATAAGGACGAATAAATAGAGGTCCCGTCTCCTGCAAGGTTAGGGGTAGGAGACGTTAATTTCCCACGCACGAGATAAATGTGTGATGGATGTTCTCCCCTGGGGTGGGATGTGTTGGGGGAAAAGGTGAGGTCGTTACATGGACTAAAGCGGCTGCCAGAGGCGCCTGATAATGCTGACGTCCGTTCTCAACCTTAGTAACACTGCAGACCTTAGCAATTCAGCCTACGCTGCTATTAAGGTATCGAATCATTCATTCACTCACTCACTCACTTACTTTCACTCACTCAACCCTATTAATAAAAACCCGTGAATAATAAAATATGTTATTTTACCTCCAAAGTGACATTTTCACCATCGTTAACCTCGATATCCCCCAGAGGGGAGAGGATTGTCGGTTTAGCACCACTCTTTGACCTGGATGGCCGTTTTGTCACTGGGAAGCCTGGGGCTGTGCCATCGGTACTTTCTTTAAAATCTACTAATTCTAAACACAAAGAGAACAGTAATTATTTCACTAGCATTCTTATGTAGAAGAACATCCCGAGAGCGTTATAATCTTCTAACTCATAACAAAATTCCCACCTACATTAGCTTTAGGAAGCGTGAAGCGCCATTTGGGTACACGGACGCTTAAAACATAATTTGAAAATCATTTACATTTCAGCAAAGCAACACCGACCTTCCACAGCTAACTTCGCCTCACAGGACTGTGTTCCAGCCTTGTTAGATATAACACACTTGTAAATCCCTTGATCCTGAATCTCAACAGGGGAAATCTTCAGCGAACAGTGTTCTCCATCAGACGACATCTTCAACCGCTTTCCATACTTGATCGGCTCGTTGTCTTTAAACCAGCGAATCTGCAGTGGTTGGCTGCCAGCGGCTATTATTTCTAACTGTGCAGTGGAATTCTTTACCACACAGATGTCGGTACATTCTTGGACAAATTCGGGGGCCATTTGGGAAAGGCGACTGAGGTTGAAAACATGGCAAAAATGCAAAAATGTTGAGGTATTACTTAGTTAAAATAAAGGCGATTGCAGTCATTTCTCCTCACTAACCAAGATCCAAGATTTTTTTTTGTGCAGGCGAAATAAGTTAACTCGGTTAATTTTAAGGGACGAGTGTGATTAAAAACCAATCATAAAAAAGAAGGCAAAGTGGGAACAACTGCTATTCATGTAGATATGAATTTTAAGATCAATTTCAGCATAATGTGTAAAACCTTTTTCAAGCAAAAAATATGTTTGTCTCACCCGCGGTTCATTACTGTCTGTGGAACTTTGACTTTCTCTGTAAAAATAAACGTCAAAAATGATAAGCTTATCAAAAAAGACCATTTCAATTTCTTCCATTGTATACTGCCCCCTTTTCCTTAACCATTTTTTAACACCGAAACCCCTAAGAATTCTTTTGTCTAATAAGTTTGTTAAAGCACAAAGCTGTTGTCATTGAAGACGTTAGATATATTAAGCCGCATTACAAGTCAGCTTATGAAACCATACTGCTTTACAACACTAAGAGGATACCTTCAACAAGCACTTCACAATCAGTAGACACTGATCCCGCATCATTGGCAGCAACACAACGGTACACTGCCTCATCTTTGACTGACATATTGAAGATGTTAACTGCTTGCATCTCACCAGCGGAGATAATAGTAATATGATGGTCCTCTTTCAAAGCATGGTCGTCTTTGTACCACGTGACCTCGGCCTTGCACTCGAGGGGAACTCGAACGTCTAGCGTCAGATTGTCACCTTCTTTAACCTGTTTGTCTTGAAGCTCTAACAAGAAAACTGGTTTTGGAACTAGAGGGAAAGAAACGAAACAAAAATCAACACAACGCATCTGTGTTTAAGGCCTCGACCAAGAGTTGAAGTTGGAGTAAAAGATAATTTTTGACCTTTTGCCTGACCTGATTTCATTACAGACTTTGGTTTTGGTGCAGTTGGGGGCGCCACCTTCCTGTCAGCAGGTTTCGGCGTCTCCCTAGGATGGGTAAAAAGGACAAGAAATTAGCAGAGAGGAGCTGCAGAAAATCACGAATAAAAATGATTTACAAAGCTAGAAGAGTAAATATAAGAAAAAAGCAAAACGACAGCGATAAAATTAGAACAAAAACTCCGTTAGGAATTGTGCTATTGACAATCCAGCTAATTTTCTATCGTACGCCATTTGAGAATGAGCAGGATACCCCATCATATCTTACGTTGTTCGAGGTCCGTCCTTAGATTGTAACTCATCTTCCGAAGTTTCCTCACTTTCACCTCCTGTTGATTCTTCAAGGCCTGTGTAAAATGAACAGACTTACAATGTCATCAAAAATGCCTCGAATTCAATAAAGTTCTTCAATTTTAATTCCTTAGAAAAGATAACAGAGGGTCTTACTAAGTTTTACTACGTTTTTTATTAATAGTCCATTTTACAGTTGTGTGCTTGGTTGCCAAGCCTTTGAACAGGAGTGAGGCTAGAGATGACCTTGTTATGATACAAACCTTGCTGCCTTTCAAATGTAAATCACTTTGTTATCATGCTAAGTAGATACAGGTCTCTATCACAACAAGATCATCTTTAGCCTCACTCTGAATCAAAGGCTTGGCAACTAAGTACACAACTGTAAAATGGCCTATTGACTTTTCGTATCTCCCTCAAATGAGGTTCTGGTGCAAAAAAAAAAAAAATACAAAACAAAACAAAACAAGTCTTTTCAGATAACTAAGCACAGAAGAGCACTAAAGGCAACTGACCTTCTATTATTAGCTCTGCAGTGCAAGACACTTCTCCTTTGACATTTGTTGCTTCACACTTGTACATGCCCTCATCGTCAGTAACCACATCATTAACAAACAGAGAGAACACTCCGTCGTCATCCTCATCAAACCGGATTTTTCGGTTCTCCTCAAGCAGTTTGTCATCCTTCAGCCACCGTATTTCTGGACCAGGGCTTCCAGTGACCTTGACATCAAATCGCGCCGCGCTTCCTTCTATAACTTCTGCTGTCTGCATTGTTCGAGAAAACTGGGGAGGAGTCGCAAGAGCACTACCTTCAAGCTTAGGTTCACGTGACAGTGGGACGTCTGTGGCCATTACTACAATTTGCTCGTCGACTGGCTTCTTAGGACTGAAAGACAAAACAAGGATCACATGTTTAGAAAAGTTGTATAAAATAAATTATGGAGTTACAAGAACTTTCGAGGGTACGTTTTGGCGATAAATTGACTTACAGTGACATGACACCCTCCTTGATTTCTGGCTTAGGAACTGTGAAGAGACAAAGAAACAAAACCATGAGTTTCAAACGAGTGAAGACAGGCCAGAGTCAATACGAAAGGCGTTTAAATGAATGGATTAAAACAAATGAAGGGCAAACGAACGATTGGAGTGGCAAGTTTATGATGATCAAGGGAGGGCAGTAAGGAGACAAAATCGTCCACTAAGGGGGGGGGGACGAACGAACGATATTGCAATCACGACAAGAGGGAGAGAAAGATTGACAATGACCATCGTGTTAAATTGAAATTCGCCTTCACAAAAACAGCTATACATACCTTCAACAGTAAGCTTAGCAGAACACCAAGCCTCGCCTGTCTTGTTCTTCGCTACGCACTTGTACTCTCCCTCATCATCAGCCTCTGCACGTTGTATACGAAGTGAATGCACCCCATCTTTGCTCTTCTCAATCTTAACTCGACGGCCTTCTCCGATTGGCTTGCCTTCCTTCTGCCATATAACATCTGGGACTGGATTACCCGACACCTTAGCTGTCAGTTTCGCCTCCTCCCCCTCAATGACTTTTGTGTCAGTGAAATTCCGTTCGAATTCTGGACGAACCGTTAATTCTTGACGAGGTTTGGAGAGTGCTAAACAAATTTTAACAACAAAAGGGAGACGATAGGTCAAACTATTTTCTCACTATTTTCATCTCTATTCCCTCTAAGAACGAGACAGTCGAAGACTTCCCGTTGCTTAAAAAGCTCACATTTGGTCAGGCACTTCAACGCTTGTAGAGAGAGCGGGATAAGATGAAAATTCCTTTCTTGACTCAAATTATTTGTAAGTACCAGTAAACACACAAAGAAACATTTCCTAGATATAATGCGACTCGAAACAACTACAGGGTTTACAAATCAAGGTAATGTGGTAAGGTCTTAATATAAATTTGAGGCTACAAAAAAATAGAACACGAATGAGACCAACTTGTAATAGTGACTTCAGCTGACGAACTGACGCTGCCCACTTTGTTTGTGGCTTCACATTGATATTCTCCCGAGTCTTCCACCTGACATTCTTTGATCACAAGCGTAAATCCGCTCACTGATTGGTTGATGTCAAACCGTCCTCCTCCGCCAATTGGTTCGCCATCCTTGTACCACTGGAAACCAGGTTCCGGTGTTCCCATGGCCCGACATGCCAAGCGAACTGAGCTACCTTCAACCGCTGATTTATCTCTAAGCTTTAGAATAAACTCTGGTTCTCGAAGACGTTCTTTTGGTTTTGGAGATTCCGGTTTGGATCGAGGCTTTGTTGCTGTTGGTAGGGGTGGTTCTGACTTCTCTACCTGAGCTGAATCAGGTGATAGGAGGGTCTCAATCACTGGTGATGCTTCCGTAGAAACACGTTGTTTTCGTCTACATAGAGAATATAATTCATTAATTTCCATGCACCCAAAATGTAACTCAACTTTTACTTACGCGTAGTGAATATATAAATAAGCGCATTTTTTATACTGTTTGACAACCTAGGGCATCTTCTAACAGAGATTAGTCAAACTGTGAAAATATTGTTTGTAACATACATCTCTTCTTCTGGTTCTTGTTCACCTGCTGATACGCTCTCTTCGTCATCTGTTTCTATAAATAAAAGAAAGCAAATGACTTTTCTGCAGCAGTGGGAATAATTTTGCAAAGGAAGCGATGGAAATGATTAAATGTAGTTATAAGTAGTTATAAGAAGTAGAAACAAATAAATGAGATCAAACAAACAAGCAGACACACAATTTAATCGCTTACGTAATATATACAAATCCGCGGTGCAGTGTGCCTTGCCGGCGCTGTTCCTTGCCACGCACTTGTACATGCCTTCATCACTTCCGCATACGTCATCTATGACAAGCACTTGTCTGTCATCATCATCCTCGAACTTGTACCTCCCTCCCTCGAGCAGGGGTTCGTTCTCTCTGTACCAACGGATATCCGGCCGCGGGTCGCCGATCACACGACACTCCAGACTAGCTGTTTTACCGGGAACTGCATCAATATCTTTGAGTTTCTGAGTAAACCTTGGTGTAGTTCCTTCGAATTCAGGCTCCATGTCAGCTGAAATGAGGCCAAAAAGATTAGAGATCACCACACTCCTTAGTGGAAATCTTTCTCAAAACGAAAATATTAAAAAATAAAAAACCAAGAACATATAGCACCACCACTTTGAGTTGCCTGTTATAACCAAAATATTATAACATTACCAAATTGTTGTAACTTACGTTCAACATTGAGGTATGCATTGCTCTCAACCTGACCAAAATCATTCCGTGCCACAAATCGAATGTGTCCCGCATCTGTCCTCTTAGCGTCTGAGATATTCAAAGCATAAAGATCCTCATCACGTTCACAAGTGAAGCGAGGCCATTTACTGACAAGTTGATCATCTTTGTACCACTCAGCGGTCACGCCAGTACTGCTGACCACACGACAAGCAAACTTTGTCACGCCACCTTCCTTCACGTCACGGTTGCGTAACACAAGCGTTATATCTGGAGGAAGCTTGGCTGGACCACTTGTGGAGGATGATTCAACTTCATCTTCTGTGTCGTCCGACAGCATATCAAATGTTGACTCACTGACAATAAACAAATTAAAATAAGTCTTACGATATTCAAACTTGAATTTTGTTTCCGGAAACGAAATGGGAAGTTCTCGTCACAAAAACTAATACAGAAGGACGTTGCCCTTCCGTAGCACAGGATTCAGTTGCCAAGTGTGAAATCTTTCTAATCATATTTGCTGTTTGGTTATTGTGTGATTCAGTGTCGCACGGAAACCACTCACCGTGAAAGACGTCTCTCGTAGTCAGAGCCACTGGCAGAATCAAAACCATGGCCTGTGCAGGAAAGGCAAAGAAACCAATTTAGTGGAATAATAAGCACATGACAATTAGAAGTACGAAAGAACACCGTGTTACTTAATTTGTATGTAGAATTCTATTTCAAAAATACGAAGTTCACGACGACATTTACAAGATAATTAGATACTTACTTTCTATGAAGAGTTCTGCACTGCACTGAACCTTGCCGGCTGGATTACTCGCCACGCACTTGTATCGCCCTCTGTCAGATGATTCAGCTTCTCTTATGAGCAATGAACACAAACCGTCGTCTTCAAACAAGAATCTGATTCGACCGCCTTCACGAATCACACGATTATCCTTGTACCAATCTACCTCCGGCTCTGGTGTCCCTGAAAAAACGTAAACTATACTGTTAACAAGATATCATAACAACCAAGAAAAGACCAATTAACCCCCCTCCCTTTTAACTGTGACTGAGAATTGTTTTATATTTTATGTGTGGCGAGTGTTCAGTTATATCATCGCCTTTGGTACTTTTTCTTATTTAAACAGAAATCACTACATTGATATGATTACAAGCATTACAGTTGCTGCAATATCAGGAAATAAAGCCTGACTTAAATCATAAGAGGATAAGAATAGATCTCACCTTTGACACGGACGTCAAACTTGGCAGCACTTCCCTCCACGATCTCTATGTCCTGAAGTCGCTGAATGAACTCTGGTTTAACAGCTCCCTCAGGAACTGGTTCTCGTCGGAGGACAAGCTTTTGAGCTGTGAGTAAAGAAAAACCCATATAACTCGCTTAAAAGACTCAACCCTTGTGGTCTTTGAGTTTGGCTTCTGTGTGAGGACTTATGAGCGAACGGTATCGTCCTGGCGGCAAGCTATTACAAGAACATTCATTGCCTAAGGGTCACACGTAAAAAAAAAATCTCAGCAATTTTTCCTAGAAAATAAGATACTCTTTCTCATAATTAAAACATTGATAGCCCTAATAACTTATCTCGACTTTTCTACTGTTTCTCAAATGATATTTCACTAAGACAACAAATTTAAGCCTACCATTAACTATAACAACAAACGGTTTGACAGCTGTTCCAACGGAGTTTGTGGCTTCAGCTCGATAATTCCCTGAATCATCTGGGACTGCTTTAGGAATCAACAGAATGTTCATGTCACCTTCTGTCTGCAGCTCAACCCGCTTGACTCTCCGAGCAAGGCGATTCTCCTTGAACCATTCTACCTGAGGGGTGGGCTTCCCTCTGGCTTGCACCAAAAGCTTAACTGGAGCACCTTCCCAAACCTCAAACAGCTGCTCCTCTGCGCCTTGAACAAATCTAGGTGCGACTTGTCTGTTATTGACTTTGAGCTCAGCTGAACTCGTGACTTCACCTGCGCTATTTGTTACAAGGCACCTATACTGACCACTGTCCTCTGTGCTGCAATCGCTTACAGTGAGTGAAAACTTCCGACGCTCTGAATCTTCGAAGATGGTGTACTTTCCTTCATTGTTTATCGGCATTTTTCTCAAGAACCACTGCACTACGGGGTCGGGCTTTGCACTAACTGCAATCTCAAAAACGGCGTCCTCTCCTTCTAGTAATTCCAGATCATTCATCAGTTTTTTGAACTCCGGTTTATTCGTCGATTCGCTTACAACAAGACGCGTACTACACGACGCAGTTCCACTTTTGTTCTTAACAACACACTGGTAATCTCCGCTATCTTCTGGCCTGGCGTCCGAGATGACAAGTGAGATGAGGTCACCCTCCAACCCTGTTTTAACCCGTCGGTTTTCACTTACAGGCTGACCATTCTTTGTCCACTCAATATTGGGTTTAGCAGTGGCATTAAGGCGACATTTTAGTCTCGCTGTGCTTCCAATGGTAGCTTGAGTTTCTTCTAACGGTTGAGTGAACCTGGGTGCAGGTTTCTTCCCTGCATAAGACATAAACACTTCGATTAAAAAACAAAATGAACACAACTAAGACAAATCCAGCATAATTTGTTATACGACTTTACTACGGAACTACCACTGATGGATAACACTACAGGGTATAAGACAACATTATGTTGTGTTACCAGCAAAATAACTGAGATTGTTTTGTGAATAATATAATAAGTGTCACACTTCATGCTGTACCACGCACATTGACTTACCTTCAATATCAACCTGGAAGGTCTTAGTCGTTGTACCTGCAGCACTCTTCGCCACGCATTTATACACTCCAGAGTCTTCGGGAGTAACAGTGAAGATTCTTATACCATATTTGTTTCCTCGCACTGATATGTTGCCGCGACTAGTTCTTTTAAATGGCCTGTCATCTCTAAACCACTCTACGTCTGGCCTTGGATTGCCTCGAATGGTCACGTTTATCTTAAGTTCATCGCCCTCCTTTACTTTTATCGGTGAATCGCCGCCTTCATCGGAGAACTCCGGCGCAATCTGTCTCTCTTTTACGTCAAGTCGTGCAGAACATTGCATTCTTCCAGCCTCGTTCGACGCAACGCATTTGTAGCTTCCAAAGTCATCTAATGACACATTCTCAATAAATATGGAGTGTACCTCGCTGTCCTCGGATTGCTCAATTTTAAATCTTCCCCCATTGGCGATAACTTTTCCACCCTTTGACCATTCAGTAACAGGCTTAGGATTGCCAACCACGCGGACGTCAAATCGCGCCGTATCACCCTCGATAACGTCAGTGTGCTTCATTTTCTCTTTAAACTCTGGCATTATAATAGCTTTATTGACAAGAAGCTCTGCGGAGCAAGACACTTTGCCAAGATCATTTGTTGCTACACATTTATATTTCCCTTCGTCTTCAGCAACAGTATCAGAAATTGTCAATCTGCAAACTTCAGAATCGAAGTAGGTGTTCACTCGTATACTTGATGTGATAAGTTCATCGTCTTTATACCATTCAATGCTTGGTTCTGGTTTTCCATGAACCCAGCACTCTAACTTAGCACCACTGCCTTCTACAACTTCTACTTTCTTTAGAGGCTTGAAAAACTCCGGCGCTGAGCCTTTGGGTTTTTTGGCTGGTTAAGAAATAAATAGAGTTCATAATGTTGAGGTTTTAATTGAAATTATCAGCATTTAATTTTTCCAGACTGGTGTCGATGTTACAACAATTCTAACGTTTACCATCAGCGGAGAAAAAAAAATAAAGCCTAAAAAAAAAAAAAACCAAAGCACAAGGGATGAATGTAATAGGTTTGAGTCCTTAACTGGAGTAAGAGGAATAATATGACATGAGCTATGTTTGTATACCTCATTTTTATCTAAAAATAGCTAACCTTCTACGGTGACGTTAAAAGTCCGCATTGCTGTTCCCAATTTACTCTTCGCTACGCACTTGTACACCCCAGAATCAGCAGGCTTAGCGCTGTTTAGAAGAAGTGTGTGTTTCTCTCCTTTCACCAGAGTGGTCATATTCGATGACTTTCTGAGACTAAGTTCATCTTTATACCACTCAACATCAGGAGCAGGTTTTCCTCGTATTGTAATTTCCAACGAAACTTCTTCACCTTCTTTGAAGATCACAGGGGCATCACTGAACTCGCCTGCAAATTCTGGAGGCGTAAGTCTTTCATTAACTTCTAATTCCCCACGACATGTGGCTTTTCCTACCTCGTTAGACGCAACACATTTGTAAATACCACTGTCCTCCAAAGTTGTTTCATCAATTATGAGAGAATACAATTCATCCCCGTCGTCTACTTTAACAATATATCGTCCTTCGTTAATGATAGCTTGAGATCCACGGAACCATAAAACATTCGGCTTAGGATTTCCGCTGACCCGTACATCAAGCTGAACTTGTTCACCTTCATTCACTTGTAAACCTTTTAGCTTTTCCTTAAATACAGGCGCTACTATAGGTTTGGTGACGACAAGTTCTGCTTCAGAAAAAGCCGATCCCAGATCATTTGTAACAATACATTTGTAAGATCCACTATCAGCTTCTTGTGTTTCAGCGAAGGACAATTGACACATATCGCCTATAATATCAGCTTTGATCCTTTGACTAAGTTCGACCTGCTCTCCATTTTTGCACCATTCAGCCGTGGGTTCTGGTGTACCAATCATACGAACTTTCAGTCTTAAAGGATTTCCCTCTACAGTCTGCATTGCTTTTAAGGGCTGCGTAACCTGTGGTGCCTCTCCTTTAGGTTTCTTTGCTTTTTTACCTGAAAGGAAAACTTCCGCATATTTTATCACTGACGGGATGCTTTGAATGCTTTTTTCTTGACTCTTGCCTGAAAGCCATAGTTTGTATCCCTCCCCCCCATCCCCATAGAAACCAATCTAGGTCAATTTCAGTGAACTCTAATTTCGTTAAATAGTGTTTCAAATGCTCTCCAACCACTGATAAACTATTTACTTTATAAATTCTCTCCAACCACTTGCAAACTATTTAATTTATAACACTGCGATTAATGAAGTATAAAGAAAAAATAGTCACCTTCGATATTTACTTGGAAAGTTCTGGTAACGCGTCCGGCCTTGCTACTAGCTACACACTTGTATAGGCCAGAGTTCTCTGGTGAGACATTCCTAACAACTAAAGAAAATTTGTCGTCTCGGGATTTTATGTCTAAACGACTTGTCTTTCTCAATGGCTTGTCATCTTTGAGCCACTCGACATCAGGGCGAGGCTTGCCTCTAACGGTAACAGATAATGTCACCTCGCCACCTTCAACTGCAGTGATTGGGCCTGTCTCCTCCTCGTCAGCAAATTCAGGAGCCGCCATATTCTCCTTTAGTTTAAGTTCAGCTTTGCAGGCGGCCACTCCAACGTTATTTGTTGCTTTGCAGGTGTAAGTACCGGCCTCATCTGGGGAAACATCATCAATTACAAGAGAGAAGAGATTATCTTCCTCATCGTCAATCAAAATATATTTTCCAGCATCTTCAATCTTGTCAGTTTCTTTAAGCCATTGTACAGCTGGTTTGGGAGATCCTGTCAAACGCACATCAAACCTTCCTTCTTCGTTTTCTGCCACTTCAATGTCCTTCATAACTTCGGTAAATTCTGGTTTCCTATCAGCTTCGTTTACGAGAAGTTCTGCAGAACAGGATGCAGTACCCAGCTCATTTTGAGCAATACATTTGTAATCACCTTCATCGTCAATTTCTGCTGCGCGAAATGACAAAGACGCAACGTCTCCGTCAAAGTCAGCTTTAACTCGTTTACTGGTCTCTAGTGGTTCTCCATCTTTAAGCCACCGGATGATAGGTTGTGGAGTCCCCGTCAGTGTACAGGAAAGTTTTACTTTTGTTTCTTCAGAGACTTCAACTGATTGCAAAGGAAAGGTAAACACTGGGGCACTTCCTTTTGGCTTCCCAGCTGAGGATGTAAACAAAAATACTTAATTCCTGAATCCTGAAGTACATATCAAATATGATAAAACTTCTTTCGTAAAGACACAGGTGATGCATTTAATAATTGTAGTATGCGAGCCCGAAATATCTGTCTAGTTGCTACTCACAGTGAAAATTTAGAGAATGTTGAAATACTGGGCCGCTTATTTCGACAAAGTTTACCCGTTGTAAACAAAACCATAATTCTAGCACTTAGCAGTTAAGGCATACAACAGAATTACATTTTAAAATTCTTTCATTGTACATTCACGAAATGCGTTAAAAGAGAAAGCTACGAGGCGAGTGTTCTCTTGTTTAAAAAGAAGCTTCACCAAAAAACGTTCAAACAACTTTTAATCACGGCCAGAAAAATTACGTCAGTAAGTTTAATAGATTCCTACCTTGTACCATAACATCAAAAGTTCTGGTGGCAGTTCCCATCTTGCTCTTAGCTTCACACTTGTAAACACCAGAGTCATCCGCCCTAGCGCCGAGAATCACCACGGAGTGTTTATCTCCTCGAGCTCTGATATCTAGCCTTATGCTCTCGCGAAGGGGTTTGTCGTCTTTGTACCATTTCACATCAGGTTTTGGTTTTCCGTTGATTAAGACATCCAAACTTACTTCTCCACCTTCAGTCGCAGTGAAGGGGGCCTCAGGTTGGTCTCCTGAAATTTCAGGGGCGAAAAGCCTCTCCTTCACAATGAGGTCAGCTCGGCATGTGGTTTTACCTGGGTCAGAACTAACTATTAGCAAGTTGATGGGCCTATATTGGTCCCTAATAATTCAGGAAAAAAGGGCGAATATAGGTGCATGTGCATACATAGCAAAGCATACACACCTACGTCACCAGAATAAAAGTGCGGAATTCCTGACGCCAATCTTTCAAAAAAGACGGATTTTATTACTAGGGAGCACAGATGTGCGTGCAGCTTTACAGCCGAAATTAACAACAAAACGAAAGGCAAAACTCCCTTACCCCCTTGGTTTGAGGCTTCACACTTGTACATTCCAGCATCCTCAAGCAGAGTATCACAGATTTCAAGTGAAAACAGATTCTCATCAGGATTCTCTTTAAACTCAATTCGACCATCGCTCTTCAGCTTACTTATCCCTTTAAACCACTGCACCGCAGGCACAGGGTAACCATCTACTCGAGCATCGAATTGGACAGCGTCTCCTTCGGTCACTTCGACTGTTTTAAGTTTATCCTTGAATTCTGGCTTAGTTACGACACGAACTTTTAGAGTGGCCGCACAAGATGCTGAGTCAATCTCATTGGTAGCCACGCACTTGTATTCTCCTTCATCAAAAGATCTGGCTTCCTTGATTGTTAAAGCAATGGACTCCCCATCATTTTCTAACTTGACCCGTCTGTTTTCTTTTATCTGCACTCCCTTTTTAAACCACTCGATGTTAGGTTTGGGTTTAGCAGTCACAGTACACTGTAGTTTGGCATCGTTTCCTTCCTTTACTTCCACAGGTTGAAGAGTTTCAAAAAATACCGGTGCTTTTCCTTCCGGTTTCTTAGCTATAATTTACAGCAACAAAAAACAGGACAGATGACTAGCAAAATAAAAATATCCCTTCATCGATGCGAACGATGGTTTTAAGAATGATACTCACGGTAAGCACGCGTTGATTTGCAGAATTAAAAGAGACCAACCACTACTAAAAGTACAATGGAATACACGCACAAAGAAAAACCAAGAAAAACAACAACAGTAAATACATGCAGAGAATATGCCGATGCTGAATGGAAATATCTTTTCCCCTTCAAAAGTTTTTGTTGGGAAAAAAGCCTTCCAATTGGTTATCTTCTTTTCTTCCAATGGATCCTCGACAGAAATAGTTAATGTATTGCAATGGCAAGACTACAAGACAGGGTCTCTAATACACATGCACAACAATTCAGATCATTTAAACTCCCATTATAGTATATTCAATGTTTGTTTGGAAGGGATAACTTTTAACGAATGAAAGCAAACAGAAAAAAAGATCGTTAAAATGCTGTGAGTTACCGGAAAGCTAACTACCTTTCACACCGTCTATTTCCTGTCCAGTGACAAGAGCGCTCTCAACCTCGGCAGCTGAGTCGGGTACAGTGATGGCTTCATCAATCGCAGGCAGCGCACTTTCAGCTTGCTCAGCATCTTCTGGTGCGATCGTCGTTTCTTCAACAACCAAGTTACTTTGGCATGACACTTCACCGACTTCATTGAATGCAACACACTCATATTCACCGCTGTCAGTTGGCCTTGCCTCTTCAATCACCAGAGAAAACAGGTCGTGTTCTTCGTCATCAATCAAAATAAAACGACCCTCATCTTCTATCTTTTGTTTTCCCTTAAACCAGTCAACCTCTGGTGGCGGTACACCCACAACACGCACATCAAACCTTGCTTCGGCCCCAGGCAAGACACTGATATTCTTCAGCTTTTCTTTAAAATTTGGTTTGGTTTCAGCTTCTTCCACTAGAAGCTCTGCTTCGCTTGATGCACTACCGAGCTCATTACGAGCCACGCATTTGTATTCGCCCTCATCGTCAAGCTCAGCTAGTCTGAACGATAAAGAAGCAAAATTGCCATCAAAGTTCAAGTTGATGCGCTTCGATTGTTTTACCGGCTCGCCATCTCTAAACCATTCAATGTTGGGTTGCGGTTCTCCTTTTACCTCACACTCCAAGTTTGCTGGTTTACCTTCCACAACTGTAAGGTCTTGGAGGGGTTTGGCGATTTCTGGTGCTATTCCTTTCGGTTTCTTAGCTGTCAGGAAAAAAACACAGAAAAAGAATAATGCGTTATAATACTACGATCCTTAATTTAGTAAAAATTTATGAATGGTGCCACCATTTCAGTCCGGAGTTTGTTAACACATGGTACTCGAGAAGCTAAGGGGACAATTAAGAAAACACTTGATCAAACTCTCTAGCAACCCTATATACCTTATATGGTCATAGCTTCGGTGACAAGGTTTTCCGGAGGGAATATAGTCAAAGATCCCAGGAATAAAGGTAACATACCTTGTACCATTACATCAAACGTTCTGGTGGCAGTTCCCATCTTACTCTTGGCTTCACACTTATAAACACCAGAGTCATCCGCCCTGATGCCGAGAATCACCGCAGAATGTTTATCTCCACTTGCTTTAATGCCTAGCCTTGTACTCTGGCGAAGGGGTTTGTCGGCTTTGTACCATTTCACATCAGGTTTCGGCTTCCCAATGATTGTTACATTCAATTTACAGTCATCGCCTTCTATAACTGTAACTGGGGCCTCTTCCTGTCCTTCAGGAAATTCAGGAGCAAACAGCCTCTCCTTCACAGAGAGCTCACCACGTATTGTGGTCTTTCCAGCTTCATTGTAAGCGACACATTTATACATTCCAGCATCATCACGATTGACATCCTTAATGGTAAGAGAAAAATGCCCATTTTCCTGATCTTCTTTTATTTCAGTGCACTCGTCATTCTGGAGCCTAGCCGTCCCTCTCTACCACTCCACAAACGGTTCAGGATAACCGACGACAACAGCATCAAAGCTGGCAAAATCACCCTCAACTACTTCAACCCTTTTCAATTTCTCTTTAAAGTCTGGTTTAGATAGAACCCTCACTTTCAACGCTGCTGTGCACGAAGCAGAACCGAGTGCATTTGAGGCAACACATTTGTACTCTCCTTTGTCATCTGGCCTCGCATCTTTAAAAGAGAGAGAGGATGCCATCCCATCACTATCCAGCTTGATTCTTCCGCTCTCTTTCACTCGAACTCCATTTTTAAGCCACTCAAAGGTCGGAGGTGGTTCAGCGGTTGCTTTACAATGAAGCTTAGTTGTATCGCCCTCTTTCACTTCTATTGGTAGTAAGGGCTCTGTAAATTGTGGTGCACTGCCTTCTGGCTTCCTGGCTATTAAGGTTAAGTAGAAGGGTTTATAAGGTTTTTAATGAAAAAGCAAGCCCTAACCGTCTGTTAGTCAGTCGGCCTGTCTGTTAGTGGTGTGCAGGTCTAACTCAAACTTAATCCTTGGCTCAAACTTCATTTTACAATAACCTAAACTACACTCCCAGACACAACGGATGGGACAAAGAAGATGGACATTGGAAAGGAAAGAACAACAAACAAAGTTGTTCTGGAGAAGCGTGGATTGGGTATGTTAAGATAATAAGGACAGAGCTAATGGATAGACTAATGATTTTGGTGGAGTGCCAGTGAATGCACACTACGGCTACACACACATCCTCGGAAACCCAGGGGCAGTGAGTCGATTTCAAGTTAAGGGCAGAAGAGCCCCTGGGGACATTGTCTTACAAGACTACTTCCAAACGGTCGCAGTCGTTCTGGCATCTGATTGGTGCCAGAAAATCTTTGTTTTTTTTTTTGTTTTTTTTTTGTTTTTTTGTTTTTTTTTGCTAACAGT